TGGTCTCCGAGCGCGGCGTCTATGCGGGCCATGGCGCAGGGCGTGGCAGGTGTGGCACTTTCCTCACCCCGTAGGGGGTTCGCAGGGGGTGGTCTCCGAGCGCGGCGTCTATGCGGGCCATGGCGCAGGGCGTGGCAGGTGTGGCACTTTCCTCGACCTCGTAGGGGGTGCGCAGGGGGTGGTCTCCGAGCGCGGCGTCTATGCGGGCCATGGCGCAGGGCGTGGCAGGTGTGGCACTTTCTCGACCTCGTAGGGGGTGCGCTGGGGGGGGTCTCCGAGCGCGGCGTCTATGCGGGCCATGGCGCAGGGCGTGGCAGGTGTGGCACTTTCCTCACCCGTAGGGGGTGCGCAGGGGGTGGTCTCCGAGCGCGGCGTCTATGCGGGCCATGGCGCAGGGCGTGGCAGGTGTGGCACTTTCCTCACCCCGTAGGGGGTGCGCAGGGGGTGGTCTCCGAGCGCGGCGTCTATGCGGGCCATGGCGCAGGGGCACTTTCCTCACCCCGTAGGGGGTGCGCAGGGGGTGGTCTCCGAGCGCGGCGTCTATGCGGGCCATGGCGCAGGGCGTGGCAGGCACGGCATATTCTCGACACCACCGGGGGTGCGCAGGGAATGGTCCCCGAGTGGGGCGTTTATTCTATATGCGCCCACGACGCAGGGCCTGGCAGGCCTGGCACTTTCTCGACACCAGAGGGGGTGCGCAGGGGGTGGTCTTTCTATACGCGCCAATGTTGCAGGGCCTAGCAGGCGTGGCACTTTCTCGACACCAGCGGGGGTGCGCAGGGGGTGGTCTCTCTATGTACGCGCCAATGTCACAAAGCCTAGCAGGCGTGGCACTTTCTCGACACCAGAGGGGGTGTGCAGGGGGTTGTCTCTCTATACGCGCCCATGTCGCAGGGCCTAGCAGGCATGGCACTTTCTCGACACCAGAGGGGGTGCGCAAGGGGTGGTCTTTCTATACGCGCCCATGTCGCAGGGCCTCGCAGGAGTGGCACTTTCTCGACACAAGCGGGGGTGCGCAGGGGGTGGTCTCTCTTTATACGCGCCAATGTCGCAGGGCCTAGCAGGCGTGGCCTACAAGGGGGTGCCTTGGGGGTGCGGTCGCTCGCTGTTTCGGGCTCGCAAAGTGTGGCTGGCGCGGCGCTTCTCCTCTTCCACCTCTCTTCTTGAGTGGCGTCACCAACGGTATCGGCGAAGCAACGGCCACCAGCATCATTCTCACATGCGTCACTTCAGCCATCATCACTCCAGCCATAATATAAGTATGTGGGTTCCTCGGTAGCGTAATGTCGTATCGTTTTGTTTCCCCCCGGCTTCGGCCGGCGAAATTATTGGCTATAAATAGCCAAATATTCGGCGTGGAAAGATCGAGGATGTCCCTAGCGAGACGCTCGCGTTTGAAATCCCGATCGATAAATCACAGGGTGCGGGACACATTTGGGTAAGGGGCACGAGCCCGTGTGTGTTTTTTCATGTGTTCCCATAGCCTGGCCCTCTCCAGGGGCACGAATCCGTGTGTTTTTAGGTGTGTTCCTGTAGACTGGCCCTCTCCATGGGGCGCCACGAGGTCCCAGGACACCCAGGGGGTATCTAACATGGTTGTCCCGAGCTGGAACCATGTGTGTGTGTACGTGTCCAAGCCACCCAGTTGGGTATCTAACATGATTGCCCCAAACTGGAGCCACGTGCTTTTACGTGTCCAGGCCACCCAGGGGAGTGTCTGACAAGATTGTCCCGAGCAAGGACCGTATGTTTTAACGTGTCCAGGCCACTCAGGGGTGTAGCTAACATGGTTGTCCCAAGCTGGCACCACGTGTTTGTAGGTGTCGAGGCCACCCAGAGGGGTATCTAACATGGCTGTTCCGAGCAAGGACCATGGTTTTAAAGCGGCCAGTCCACCCAGCATGTGTTTTTGCGTATCCAGGCCACCCAGGGGGTATCTAACGTGGTTACCCAGAGTTGGATCCTTGTGTTTTCACGCGTTCGGTTTAAATTCATCCGGTTTTTAGTCGTCCACTTCAAATTCATCCGCTTCTAATTCGTCCGGTTTAAATTCATTCGGGTTGTAATTCGTCCGGTTTAAATTCATCCGGTTTTAATTCGTCTGGTTTAAATTCATCCGGTTTTAATTCGTCCGGTTTAAGTTCGCCTGGTTTTAATTCGTCCGGTTTAAACTCATCCGGTTTTAATTCGCCCCGTTTAAATGCATCCGGTTTTCATCTCCCAATTTCCACACGAATCACGCAAAACACAGCGGACGAAACCGAAGCGGACGAAATACAAGCGGAGGAAACAAAAGCGGACGAAACAAGAGCGGACGAAACAAAAGCGGATGAAACATAGGCGGACGAAATAAACACGGACGAAACAATTGCGGATGAAACAAAAGCGGATGAAACAAAAGTGGACGAAGCGAAAGCGGATGAAACAAAAGCGGGCGAAACAAAAAATCAAAATTCCATCCCAGCTGCCCTCGAAAGTGGCGACAGTGCAGCAGATCGCAGCCCCCCCAGGGACGGCGAGGTCTCGCTCAGGTCCCCGCGGTGCCTCAGTCCGCAGGACCCACCAGCAGCCTTCGAAAGTGACGGCAGTGTCGCAGATCGCAGCCCCCCAGGGACGGCGAGGTCTCGCTCAGGTCCCCGCGGTGCTTCAGTCCGCAGGACCCACCAGCAGCCTTCGAAAGTGGCGACAGTGTCACAAGTCGCCGCCCCCCCAGGGACGGCGCGGTTCCTCAGTCCGCAGGACCACCAGCAGCCTTCAAAAGTGGCGACAGTGTCGCAGATCGCAGCCCTCCCAGGGACGGCGAGGTCTCGCTCGGGTCCCCGCGGTGCATCAATCCGCAGGGCCCACCAGCAGCAGCCCTCGAAAGTGGCGACAGTGTCGCAGATCGCAGCCCCCCAGTGACGGCGAGGTCTCGCTCAGGTCCCCGCGGTGCCTCAGTCCGCAGGACCCACCAGCAGCCTTCGAAAGTGACGACGGCGTCGCAGATCGCAGCCCCCCCAGGGACGGCGAGGTCTCGGTCAGGTCCTCGCGGTGCTTCACTCCGCTGGGCCCACCAGCAGCCTTCGAAATTTGCGACAGTGTCACAAGTCGCCGCCCCCCCAGGGTGTCGCAGATCGCAGCCCCCCAGTGACGGCGAGGTCTCGCTCAGGTCCCCGCGGTGCCTCAGTCCGCAGGACCCACCAGCAGCCTTCGAAAGTGGCGACAGTGTCGCAGATCGCAGCCCCCCAGGGTGTCGCAGATCGCAGCCCCCCCAGTGACGGCGAGGTCTCGCTCCGGTCCCCGCGGTGTTTCAGTCCGCAGGACCCACCAGCAGCCCTCTTAAAGTGGCGACAGTGTCGCAGATCGCAGCCCCCCCAGGGACGGCGAGGTCTCGCTCAGGTCCTCGCAGTGTTTCAGTCCGCAGGACCCACCAGCAGCCTTCGAAAATGGCGACCGTGTCGCAGATCGCAGCCCAACCCCAGGGACGGCGAGGTTTCGCTCAGGTCCCGGCGGTGCCTCAGTCCGCAGGACCCACCAGTTGCCCTCGATAGTGGCGGCAGTGTCGCACATCGCAGCCCCCCAGGGTGTCGCAGATCGCAGCCCCCCAGTGGCGGCGAGGTCTCGCTCAGGTCCCCGCGGTGCCTCAGTCCGCAGGGCCCACCAGCAGCCTTCGAAAGTGACGGCAGTGTCGCAGATCGCAGCCCCCCAGTGACGGCGAGGTCTCGCTCAGGTCCCCGCGGTGCTTCAGTCCGCAGGACCCACCAGCAGCCTTCGAAAGTGGCGACAGTGTCGCAGTTCGCAGCCCCCCAGTGACGGCGAGGTCTCGCTCAGGTCCCCGCGGCGCCTCAGTCCGCAGGACCCACCAGCAGCCCTCGATAATGGCGACAGTGTCGCAGATCGCAGCCCTCCCAGGGACGGCGAGGTCTCGGTCAGGTCCCCGCGGTGCCTCAGTCCGCAGGACCCACCAGCAGCCTTCGAAAGTGACGGCAGTGTCGCAGATCGCAGCCCCCCAGGGACGGCGAGGTCTCGCTCAGGTCCCCGCGGTGCCTCAGTCCGCAGGACCCACCAGCAGCAATCGAAAGTGGCGACGGTGTCGCAGATCGCAGCCCCCCATAGGGACGGCCCCCCCAGCAGCCTTCGAAAGTGGCGACAGTTTCGCAGATCGCAGCCCCCCAGGGATGGCGAGGTCCGCACGAAGCAAGAGGAGACAAGAGGGGAGCGGGAGACGGGAGGCGGGAGGAGGAGCTTGAGGATTGGAGACCGCGGTGCTTTATTCAAAACGAATGCCCAACCAAGGAGGGTTGGGAGAAATACCGAAATTCGAGGGTTTTCACGCGTCGCGCCCTGGGAGACGCTCGTCCGACAGCTTTCCGATACACTTGCGACACTTTTCCGGGTGCTCGAAATTATTTCTAGCATGTGGCCTTTAAGTACGATAGGAGGCAACATAACCCTAGACGGTCAGAGAGGCTTTGAAATACCACCGCACGCCCCCCTAAATTCTCCAAGAAAGTCTCCCGAGATGCCCCCCAGAAGGGCTCCAAGACGACCCAGGAGGCCCCCTGGAGGCCTTCCAAGGCTCCTCCTCCATCAAGAAGAAGAATATTGGCAACATGGGGAATAGCAGGCACGACGTTGCATCTCATGGCTTGGCATGTGGCAGTGGAAGCTCTGCGATCCGTCGTTTCTGGTCTTGGCCCGGCTAGTCTCCCCAGGGGCCCGGCGTCCTCCCGCGCAGAAATTTCGCCTTGCAGAGCGGCGTGGGTCGTTGGTTCAATCTCGTCGGGGCCTTCCAGGCAGGGCCTTGCATTGGGCGCATCACGCCTTCGGCGGACGCCCGCGGGAGGCCGTCGGAAGCGGGGTGAGGCAAAACAAGGCGCTTCCGCCGGCGGAAGCGGGCAGTTAACTGGCGGAAGGTGGCGGAAGTAAAGATGCGGCGTCGCCATGGTCCGACCCAGGATTTTGGGAAGCGCGGAATGTTGTGTGGCGCGATCGATGATGAGCGGGACGCTCGCGCTCAGGCGCCCTTCTACATGGATGGCGTTCTGTCCGTGGAGATTGGGGAGATCAACGCAACCAAGGGCGCCGTTCCAGTTGACGGCCTGTCAAGCCTGATCGAGGTCATGAGCCGCATGGTGTTGAGCGACAACCTCCGGGCGATTGGCTCTGCAAGGGTGGTTATCACTTCCCCCCTCCTGTCAGGGGGTACACTCATCATAACCCCCTCCCGTGCACCCAGATCCAAGCCTAGATATACGACACAGTGGGGCCGCTCCTTCTACGCGGGCTCAAGTTTGCCGCCTTTGGTGCCGCCCATGTTTTTTTCCTGACAATCTCGGATTTGCTTTTTCCCAAATATCGGCCACGCGCAGAAAGGGAGTAGGGGGAGGGGGGAATGCTTCTTTGAAGCACCGCTGTTTCTCAGAAGGCGCGGGCCTTGTCCCTAGATGCAGGGCCGGCGCTTTTTAAGAAGCAGCCTCCTCCTAAGAAGCTTTCCCCACTGCCTCTATCCCCCTTATGCGAGCCGCCAACAAGTAGACTTCCCGCATTGTTTCTGGCTTATTTTTTTTTGATGCGGTGGGCGTCAGGCCTGCGGTGGCAGGCCTGCCTCGGGGTGTTTGTTCTTGTTTCTCGTCTGCCCTCCTCGGGTTGCTTGGTCTTGTGTCTTGACTGCCCTCCTCGGGTTGCTTGGTCTTGTGTCTTGACTTCCCTCCTCGGGTTGCTTGGTCTTGTGTCTTGACTGCCCTCCTCGGGTTGCTTTGTCTTGTTTCTTGCTTGCCCTCCTCAGGTTGCTTGGTCTTGCGTCCTGACTGCCCTCCTCGGGTTGCTTGGTGTTGCGTCTTGACTGCCTTCCCCGGTTTGCTTGGCCTCCTGTCATGAGTGCCCTCCTCGGGTTGCTTGGTCTTGTTTCTTGCTTGCCCTTCTCATGTTGCTTGGTCTTGCGTCTTGACTGCCTTTCTCGTGTTGCTTGGTCTTGTTTCTTGATTGTCTTCCTCGAGTTGCTTGGTCTTGTTTCTTGACCGCCGTTCTCGGGACGCTTGGTCGTTTGACTTGACTGCCTTCTTCGAGTTGCGGGGTCTTATTTCTTGACTGCCCTCCCCGGTTTGCTTGGTTTAGCTTCTTGCAGCCTGACAGTGCCAGACAATGCCAAGCAACGCCAAGCAATGCCAAGCAGCGCCAAGCAGTGCCACTACGTGCCGTCCAATGCTAAGCGATGCTAAACAATGCCAGGTTATGCTAAGCAATGCCAGCAAACAATGCCAATACATGCACATTCATGCCGTTCCATGCCATGTGAAACAGTGCCAAGCAGTTCCAAGCAATACATGGCAATGCCCAGTAATGCCAAGCAATGCAGTGCAACGCCCATGAGCGCATAGCCAAGCACAGCAATGCCAAGCAATGCCGTGCAACGCAAAGCAATGCACAGCAATGCAACGCAATGCGAAGCAATGCGCAGCGATGCGAGCCAATGCAACCATCATGCAAAGCAATGCGAAGCAACGTACATGAACCCCACGCAAAAGGCAAACAACGCCAGGCAGTGCGAATCTATATCACGCAACGAAATGCCAAACAATGCTTTCTTTTCTGGGCAACTCACTTAGGAAACGTTCCCCTAGTTGGCGCTGCACTGGCTTCATTTGAACGAAGCGGTAGATGCGTTGTTTTCGTCGTGTCTGCGGAGGGCAGCCCGAGGTCGGAGCGCAACTGCGCATGGAGGACAGGTTGAGCGCTGCAGCCCAGTCTAGCTTTGGAACGTGAGCGTTTCCGCTTAGTTCGGGCGGGTTCTGCGCGACTCGATTCGGCCCATTTGCCATGCATGCCCCTCCCGACCGTAGTCCACAGCACTCTCCCTTCCCTTCTTCGCATCCGCAATCTACAATCTCGTTGGCACTGGGGATCTCAGTTTTCAGTCGTACCGAGGTGCGTCATTGTGGGGGGGCGGGGAGGGGAGGACAATGGGTTACGAGGTATGAGTTTCATTGTCCGTGAGCGGCGCACATATCTGCGGCCCTGGAACCTGGAGTAGTTTGTTGTAGACGGTTGTAGTCTTGTCACAGTTCCCCGCATCCTCTCTGCTCCTCTCCCCTGCTCCCTTCTATCTTCCCCTCACTCCTTCCTTCACCCTTCCTTTCCCGCTTCCGCATTCCCCTCCCCTCCCCCCCCCCCCCCTTCCCTCCCTAGTTCACCCTGTTCCCCTTCCGCCTTCGCCCTCCCACTCCCCCCTCCCCCCTCATCCCTTCCCCCCCTTCTCCTCCTCCTCCCCTGCTCCCATCATTTAGTTTTCCAGCATAAGCTTTCGAACCAGTGGCTTGAGCCATCATTGTTACAGATAGTCGAACACACAGTCAAACACATCCTGAACATATCTCTGATGGTTCTGAAGCCTCGTATCCCGAATTCATACACAATATAACTCCGATGCCTGTCCTGTACAGAACCGTAGGACAACAAACACCTAAGCGGAGCGTGGAGCGATCCACGATTGCTTTAAATCAGACAGGCTTGGCTCTAACTATTTAGCTTCTGTCTAACGACTTAGCTTCTGGAAGACATGCAACTATGTTTTTCTAGCGTCAGGCTGGCTTGCTAGGCTACACCAGAAAACTCCTGTGCTGTCCGAGCTTTATCGAAGTTGCTGGGAGGTAGGACGAGTGAGGAGCAGCAAACGCACAAGCAAACGCTCATTTCTCCTCATCATATCTCTCAGTACATGCATACCTCTCGCGGGCCACTGCCCATGAATGCAACGCATGTCGTAGTTGATGTCGTGATCCAGCTTCTCCTGAAGATCCTCGATCTCCTTCTCGGTGGTTTCCGGGTGTTGTGTCGCACGTTTGTGTCGCACCGCTTGACCCTCGATGAGGATGATATTCCATTTGCCCGTAGTGCAGTAGAGTAAGAGCTGATCGAACCAATTCTTTACGCTTCGCGTACCCCCACCAGCCCATATCACAGCAGCACCTCTTGTGAAGCATGCCGACAGTGGTGTGTGTCAGGCGTGTGTCCGCTGGGCTCCGCATAGCTCCCCTGTTCCTCCTTCCTCTCGCTTCCGTGTAGTGGTAGTAGTAGTAGTCGCAGTAGTAGCGACACGACAAGTTTCAGTGGCAGTAGATGTAGGTGTCGTGGTAGAAGGAGTAGCGTTCGCAGTAGTAGTAGTAGGATTAGGAGGCAGAGCAGCAGTAGTACGATGAGTAGTAGCAGCAGTCGTTGTAGTAGACCTCGTAGTAGCAGTAGAAGTAGTAGTGGGAGTAGTAATAGTAGGAGTCGTCGTAGTAGTCGTAGTAGTCGCTGTAGTAAATGTAGACGCAGTAGTGGTAGTGCCATCGCCGACGAGGAACCCCAGCGAAGCATGCCCACAGTTGTCTGGTGCAAGCATGTGTCTGTTTCCCTGTACGTGTATTCTATGGTCCGAAGCAGGAGGAGTCGGAAGAGGAGGCGGGAGGGAAGGAGCTGGGAGGCAAGACGGAGGGCGGCCGTCGTCGAAACCAGCGATCTTTCCCGACCAGCGTTGTTGTCGTTGCCACTCTGGCTTCTAGTATTGGAGTGTGGCTGTGAGCTTCGCTCCGCCTACCCGTAATAGTCTCCGCCTACTAGCATCATCTTTGCGGTTGGCATGGAGAAGCGCCTGTGCTTTGTTGTACTTTTGCTTGCCACGGGGGCTCCTGGAAGCGAGCGCGCAGAATATTGGTTGCCGGCACTCTCGCTTCATGTTGAGCTTCCACAGTGCGGTCGGCGCGCGGCACTTTCTTTCCCATGGCTTCGAATGTGATGGCGATGACGATGACGACGATGACGAAAGGACAACGACGGCGCCGACGACGACGACCACGACCACCACGTCAATGGTGACTTGGCTTGCGGCCCGAACGCACGCGCCTACTGTGTTTTTTGGCACGAGGTGGCTGGTGTGCGCAAATTCCGCACGTAGCCCAGCACCGCTACGAGATCTCCATTTTTGCATCTGATGTGAGTCATATTCTTCTCCATTCGCCCCGCGTTCGTGTCGGCAGGTCGTCGTGGCGGTTAGCGCTCGGTGACATGCAGGCACGGCGGTCATCGCGAGATGTCTCAGAGACGCGCCACTTTCGAGATTTCCTCGGCACGATCCATCGTCATTGCGACATCAGACCATGGATTTCCCTCCACACCTATACACGCATGTATTCAATCCAGAAGCACGCATAAATCAAAGGCGGTCCGACACACATCAAGAAAGCACAGAAAGACATGCACAGAAGTTCAACGTTGTCCTCTGCCTCTTCCCAAGAGAGTAAGAGTGGTGCGCCATTTGTCGTGCGGATGTTGAGTAGGCACATGTCGAGGTCTGAGAGTCGAAGTTCCAAGTGTCGTCTGCCGCGCTCGTGCGCAGGTGACGCGTGGAGCGTTACGCAACGTGTGGGCTGAAGTGGTTCGCTTTGCTTTATGGAAAAACGGGACACCGTAGATTTAGGTAGAACGCTCTTCGTAGTCGTGCAGGAGTACAGTGTGCTGAGAGGTCTTGCAGGTATGCAAGAGCTCGAGGCTCTCGACATGACTGTCGGCGTATCCCGTCACAGTCCATGTAGTGGATCGAAGCGCATCGTGCCTCAGGGTGTCCAGGGGCCTGGGGTCTAGTTCTCTCGTGTTGCAGGTTTCCCCGGTTGTCAGGATATAGTACTATACAAGGTTGTGCTTGGTGCAGTTCCAGGTAACTTCCAGGGTTCTCACAGGGCGTCTACGTGTAGCATGGCTTATAATGGACACCTCAATCCGTCGGCGATTATCGAGTGCCACGTTTCAGACATGTCATGTTGTGTTGCTTGTGTGGTGTCCTGTGGAATCGTCTGCGATCTTCTCCAAGTTTGGTGTTCGAGTCAGTACTCCCCGGCTTGGCCTGTTCGGTCACACCACTAACCCTCATATCACGCATGTGGTGAAACAGTAGGAAATTCAGATCAACGAAGAAATGAATTTGTGGTCCTCTTCAATCACTCTTAGTGACATACCACTCATTGACAGTACATTGATTGGAATACAGTATCAGAAATATCATAGTACTTGCATGGTAACGCATTATAGATAGTGAGACATATATCATGCCAAATACATTATGAGATATTATGGTGAAATTACATGGAATTGCATTGCATTGCGTAGTAATTTCGCACCACGTTGCGTTGCACCACATTGCATTGCGTTGTCTTTTGTTGCGCTGCATTTCGCTTCGCGACCTGGCAACCAATGACATTGCGTCGGGTTGAACGGCCTTATGGACTCAGTCGTTGTGTAGTACGTCGCGCTCCTCCCCATTCTTCCTCCTCCTTCCTTCTCCTCCTCCTTCTCC